GGTGCTGGAAGGGGCTGCCCGGGGAAGGGGTCGAGTCCCCAGCCCGGGGGGGATTTAACAGCCGGGCAGAGGCGGTGCTGAGGGCTGGGGTTTGGGGGTGGGATGGCAGGGGTAGGGGAACGGTTGGGCTGGGGGATCTGGAAGGGCTTTTCCAACCTAAACAATTCTATGATTCTGTGATTCTACATATGGATATATGTTTAAGCAACGTCACCCCTAATCAAGACATATTTTAGAGTGCCACAAAATGTCCCCAGGAGCTGTAGCTTTGTCATCTACACTGTTAACTGATTAGCACAATCCCAGGCTTAGTTCTGGGTCAGGCCAGCTAGCATTTTCCCAAACAATTGCTGGAGACAGTGTGGGAATTAGCATGGGAGACACTATTCCCAAAATACAGTCTGCATGTGAACCTTGGTTTGGATGGTAAAACATTTAATAGCATGGATGTGGGCTGTTCCCATGCACGCTGGCATAAGAATAGTCTGGACATTTATGATTGCAAACCGCTACATGAGAACTTTTAAGCAGAATAACTTAAAAAGATAGAAGGAAATTACTAAGCAGAAATAGAATCAAAATAATGGAGACAGCGTAAAGGTAATTAGCAGGGTTGTTGCTCTGAAGATGTAAAAGAGGCAAGGTTTGCAGAGAGAAGGAATAACTTTTGGTGTAATTGGTGTAATAAAAGATGCCTTTTTTCTTCCCAAACCTTGCCTTGAGGTAACGATCACCTTCACTGCCTAGCTCCTGCTCCAGACTCATAATGTAAATGAGAAGAGGCGTTAGGGTCATCTCTCCATATGAGGGTTAATCTAACTATATAGTTAACCCTCAGCACTTTTTAAGAGACAGAAAGTGTGGAAGGTGAAGACGCCAGTATTTTTTTATCAAGCCATGGAAACTTTCTTCCGGAGAGATGCTTGTCTGCTAGTCGGTACTGTAAAAATTTCTGAGGTTGGAGGTAGATAAAGACTAACATCACTGCTTAAATAATTATTTGTTCTGTAGCTGTGTACATACATTATCAGTGTATTTATGGGAGTGACTGTAGGTGTGGAGGGAAGGAAATCTACTTTTCTACTGGGAAACTATGAAGGAAAAGAGCCCTGGATCTAGGTGACTGGAAGAGAAAAGTGATTTTTTAAATTTTTTTTTTAATTCACATCAGGAATCAGTGATATAAGAAACAAGAACACTGGGTCCAGCTCTGGTGGGGTTGCTTTAAATAGGATATTTGAAAAACTAGAACTGTTACAGAAAGGAGAGACAGAATTATCTCAAAGATGGGAAACAAGAGTCTTCTGTTTGATTTATCAGACAGACTTGGTACAAACTGTAAAGTTTATCATGAGAAAAATGAAACAGGAAGTATCTGAGACGGTGATTTAGCAAAGAGAGATGGAACAAGCAGCAAATGATCCAAAGTCCAGGAAAACTCAAATGGGAAATGAAATACAGCACGGTTTTAGGAGAGTGGAAGAGATTTAAGAAAGCCACCTTGACGCATACCTTTAAATGCAATTGGCTGACTTTGGGGAGATGCATTTTACTTCAGCGCAAACCGTGGCTTCCTCTGAAGAGGAACCCCAGAAAAGGCAATGCCCTGCACGTGTGGGAAATCTGCCATGAGAACTGAAGGGTCTCCCGTTGTATTAAAAACTGCTGAATGAATTCATGCCCTGTGGCGAGTGAGCTGTGAAACTGCCTGAGGCTGGTCCTGTACAGCCACGAAAAGAGAGCAGAGCCGTGAGAGTTGGCTTTAAGGGGCTGAGGAATGCCAAGGGCTCCCAGTTGTTCTCTTGGCAACGGCAAAGCAACAACATCACGTGTGCCAAAAGAAACTCCTCTGTGTTGAGGACCAAATATGGTGATAAAAGTCCTCCGGAAGAAGAAGAAACGACTGCTTCTCTTGTTCTATAGCACAGGCGGTTGCATGAACTAGCTATAAATGCAACAGTCGCTAGGCGGGTAGGTAGTAGCATGAGACGAAGAACAGGCTTGAGAAAGCAGGCTCCAACGCTGCGTAGGATTGCTCTCCATACAGACCAGCATAAAGCGCGCCTGTCGTCTTAGGACAAGCCACATTTGGGTTATCAGGGAGCATGACCCGTCGCTGCTGCCCACCTGTAGAAGACCAGGGTTGCGTTGAGATGGGAAGCATGGCCCAGACCTTCTCTCCACAATGACCCGTCGCTTGAAGAAGGTTTGGTGGATTGGAGTCTGGATTTGAGAATGAATTTAACCGGTACCAAAGAGCTGCCGGGAGAAAACACTGGTGTGCAGAAGTAGTGGGTTGTGCTGCCTAGAAATGAAAGCTCTAGCTCCCATTAAAAATTGTTGCTGGGAGTTTTAGACCCTGCAGCCCTGCCAAATCCCATTCTCCTGGGGTGGAAGTTTTTCTCTTCTGGGACTAATTACAACACAAATTTCAAGGCAGCCATTCTTTCACAAGGAAGTATTATGCAGTGTATTTCAGCAAAGCGTTAACTGTTCATTAGATATATTGGGCAAGATCCTCAACCGGTCTAAAACTGGGCTTACAGCAATACTGATTTATGGTATTCGGGTATGAAGTCCGGCGTTCTTCAATGCCTTTAATTTGGGCTATGTTTAGCCAGGCACAAAGTCATGACCTTGCATGTTATTTCAGCAGTCTCCTTTGTTTATAGGTACAGCGCCACATTATTCAGAAATATTTTAAAGCCATCAGTCATGCCGACGGGGGCGGGAAAGCAGCAGAATGAGCGCTTCACGACAGGCCTCAACATCATGATTAGAAGAGGAGGTTTTGATTAAGTGGGTTTGCGTATTTATTGTTACAGTTACTATAGCAACTCCGCTGCTTTTAACTGCATGGCACTCATTCGTACATCTCACAATCTAAAGGGAATTAACAGCTTTGTAATTTGCAACACTGGAAAACATCTCGGAGTTTGGGCTGGAGCGGAGACGGACGAAGAGAGCCAGGGAGACCCTCCATCCTCTTGAGGATCTTCAAGGTCTTTTCCAACCTTGTGAAGGCTCGGGTGAGGTGGGCAGCCACGTTTCACGCCGTCGTACCTTCCCTCTCCAAACACCGTGAAAGCTGGGCTGGGGAAGAGCATAATTTCTGTTAAGAAGGTGAGACCGGTGTTAGGACAGACAGCCCCATGGTATTATGAAAAGCAATGCTTCTTCAGACCGCCAGTCTTCCCTGAGCCTGGCAGTTTCGGTGCCGACCCGCAGCGTTAGCCACCTCCTGCCAAGCCTTCTGCTTTAATCCAAAGTTAGGGGTGTTCCAGGCCCCCAGGCTCCGTGTGGCAACACAGGAGACAGAGGTTAACCCCTCACACTGTTGCCCTGCACGTTTTGAGGAGCCCTAATGGCAGTAGGGGATCCAGCACTGTGGCCCCACCCTTGGGAAGCGGCGTCCATCTTGCTTCGAGTCACTCCACCCAGGGGGGGGACCCCATTTCCCCGCCACCAAGGGACCCGTTCTCTGCCACCTCC